ATGCCTGTAATCCCAGCACTTTGGGAGGCAGAAGCGGGTGGATCATGAGGTCAGGAGATTTAGACCATCCTGGCTAACTTGGTGAAACTCTGTCTCTACTAAAAATACAAAAAATTAGCTGGGCATGGTGGCACGTGCCTGTAGTCCCAGTTACTCAGGAGGCTGAGGCAAGAGAATCGCTTGAACCTGGGAGGTGGAGATTGCAGTGAGCCGAGATCATGCCACTGCACTCTAGCCTGGGTGACAGAGTGAGACTCCATCACCAAAAAAAAAAACAAAAAAACAAAAAAAAGAAAGAAAGAAAAAGAAGAAGAAGAAAACTGTAACAAATTGAGGAAGAAGAAAAATGATAGAAAAATACTGAAAGTCAACCTTTATCAAGTATTTACTACATTCCAGGTATTGTTTTAAGTTCTTGTGATGTGTTGTTTCATTTGATTCTCACAACTCTATGAAATTTTTCTCTCATTTTAAAGATGAGGAAAATTAAACCCAGAGAGATTAAGTAACTTGCCCTTGAGCAAACAACTGTGAAGTGTGGAGACTCTAGAGGCAAGCTCTATTCTTCCTCTGTAGTGGTAAGAGGACAGGACTGAAGGAGTGAAGACAAAGATGAGATGGGAAGCTAAACTATGCATCTTAGTTTATATATATTTCTATTCGATTTTGTTTCTTTTTTTCAAACTAAACACTGTTTTACAAATAATACAGAACTGAACCCGAAAATACATAATTGGGCATTGAAGGATTACAACATCCCTAATGTTCTAAGTCAGACTTCACACGCACCTCAAGACCACATGTTAGACATGTTGGGAAAATAGAGATAAAATGGTGGCTCTGGGAAGAGGAGGAAAGATATGTGAAGAGGGGGCAGATTGTTCCTTTTACCAGGAGCTTCCAAATCTCACCTCAATTTTTGGCTAAGGCTTTGTTGACACTGGATGAAAATTAAAAAATTTACATTGAAATGTTTGCCTGCTAATATAGTTTGGATAAATGTTCCTGCCCAAATCTCATGTTGAAATATAATCCCCAGTGTTGGAGGTGGGACCTCATGAGAGGTGTTTGAATCATGGAGGCAGATCCCTCATGAATGGCTTGCACCATGTCCATGGTGATAAGTCAGCTCTTGCTCTGAGCTCACATGGGATCTGGCTGTTTAAAAGTGTGTGGCATTTTCCCCTCCACTCTCTCTCTTGTTGGCTTCTGCTTTTGCCATGTGACGTATCCACTCCCCTATCAGCTTCCTCCATGATTTTAAGCTTCCTGAGGCCTCTTGAGAAGCCAAGCAGATGCCAGGAACTTGCTTCCTGAAAGGCCTGTGGAACTGTGAGCTAATTAAACCTCTTTCCTTTATAAATTACCCATTCTCAGCTATTTATATAATAGTAATGCAATGCAAGAACAGCCTAACACACATACTTAGTTATCTAAATTGTGTGAATAAGTTCTTAGTTACCTAAACAAGTGCTCAACATAATGGTATCATAGAATAAAATAAGAGGGTTGAATAATTTGTGCAACATTTAGCTTCTAGAAGCCTTTGGAGACACCATCCTATTGGATGGGCTATTTGAGGAAAATCATGTCTCTAAGTACATTAGATATGAATGTATATTTAATAATGGTCTATATTTCTATATAAATCTTAAGATTCAGGAAAATGGGGTTTGTGATGTCCTTGGAACTACTGATAAGCCATTCAAAGCTCAGGTAGATGATACTTGGATTTAGCTGATTATTATACTTTTATATTCATAAACTAGATAGTTACTCAAAAACCAAAGTGGTCAGACTTCAAATAATATGTTTTCTTATGTTTCTGTAGTATTGATGACTAGAAACCATCATGTTCAGAAAGGTTGCCAAAAGTTGAAAGTTAAATGATTAAAGAGACAACTATACTGGATTTTGTTAAAAAAAAAAAAAAGTAACATGATTTACAGGTCAAAATGACAACTGCAAATCTAACTTTCAAGTTAATTTGGTTTTTGTGTTAGTTAAAAAAAAATCACAAAGTCACAAAGTCATGCATTGTAGAGTGCAAATGTGCTCCTAAAAACCTAAGAGTTGATCATCCTGAAGTCTTGATTGCCTTTCCAAACCTTTTCTTGATCTTCAGCAGAGCCTGAACTGGTATCCAAGAGTAAACCTGAGTACTGCACTGACCTTTCCAAAGTAGAAGCATTTTGAAACAGATATTCAACAAATGCAAACTACAATTGTTCAAAGGTACACATTCCTAGCAAACAAGAAGAAAACTTCTTGCTTCTAAGTAGTACGCTATATGTGACCAGGCCTATATATTTAATTTTCTTTGACTATATAACTTGGATCCCTTCAGGATTTTTTGTATTTTGTTTGTTTTTTTTGCTGACCCATCAATTTTTTTTTTTGAACAAGTCTTTTGCCCCTGGACAATTATGTGTTATAATTGAAAATTAACTATCCCCAAATGAATTCCCACATACCAGCCTTTTGCTAGTAACTTATGCTTCAAGGCCCATCAATGTAGTTATAGAAACGAAATGACTATCTGCACTGTGTTTTCATCCCCTCCCCCATCCAAGAAAAATGAACAAAAAATACTTACAATGGTTCTTAGCCAGGAGCATTTTATCCCTTATTCACTAGTGGTAAATGAGTCAGATATGAGTTGGCCAGGAAAAGAGCTGCTTTACCCAAAATCTTAGTATGAAATGAGTCATCTCACTCCAAACACCAATATGTTCTCCAAAATAACTGGCAAGAATTTCCTATAAAAAGAATCTTGCCTTCACTCTTTTCCATCCATTTAGCTCTCTGATTTTTCTAATTTTTCAATTTCCTGCGTGCTTATAATATTGCCTTCATAAGAAAAGCCCAGAAACGTTTCCGCCGCTTTATCTCATTTTGAAAGTCATCTTTCCTGTGTTGAGTAGGGGGACAATACTGATAGTATTCCCCTGAAAAGAGTAAATGCTCTGTGGCTTTTCAGAGTATTCTCTCTCTTTCTCTCTCTCTCTCTCTCTCTGTGTGTGTGTGTGTGTGTCTGTTTGTCTGTCTCTGATGAAATTCATGCATGGTTCAACTGAAATGCAAGAGCCAGTTCTAGAAGAATTTTTCTTTTCTTCCGCTGAAAAAGGGAGTTCAGTTCAAAGTCATCAAAAATATTTCAAGCAAAACCATTTTTCTTCCCACAAGAAAAATCAATCACAATAGATGTAATCTGTCTAAAAGTGATAAACGAACATGAAACCAGGCTACAAGCTCTGACTCTGCTTTTCTGCACATCAGAACATTCACATTCTCTCTCTGCCATCAGACGAAGCTGGAAATAAAAATCACTGTGGACTGAAGCCAAGGTTCAATCCCTATAGATTATCATGAGTCAAGCACACTATTTACCTGAGGATAAACAAGTTTGCCTACAGGGCCAATTCCTGCCAAACTGCTGAGATTTTTATATTACTTGAGGCTCATAACATCACTTATTATTGTTAATTATTCTAAGCTCTGCAATTTAACGGGCAAAAATATTTACAATTCATTTCACTCAGGTTGAAATTTAGCTTCGTTTTTCTATATTAAATTAATTCTAAAGAATAGCTATGCTCCTTTTATATCCAACACTAACAGATGTTAGTTTCCTCAGTTTTATGGCCCTCAGATGACAGACAACTAACTGTTTTTGGCCTTGGGAATAATTGCAACACCTTTGGATTATGAACTTGGTTCAGTTCTTAGCTGGGAACGGCAGGGGGTTAGTTCATATTATCAAAGATGTAAAGTAAGTTTTCCCTTATGCTCTAGATATTCATATAAAGATATCTTTCAATAGACTAATATACAGCTTTTCCCCCTTATTGCTAATCTGCTGTTTAAGTGGTTATGGTAAGAGAAAATAATTTCATAAAAAGAAAATCTCTTATTCATTTTATCTCCTGCTCTTGGCCAAAACAAGATGTTAAATCCATTAAACTCTGAGTATCCAGTAAAAGCAAGAAAGTAGGACTGTTCGTATTTGTGCATTCTTGGGAAAATTGCCAACCTGTGCACTAGTAGCAGGATCTGCGTAATTAATGGTGATGTTATTGACGGAGGGAGTCTGATTTCCTTCTCCAGAGCAATTTAAGAGTGCAAGCTGGCAGAGCTTTAGCAAAGCCCCACCTGATTTGTTTTTAAATTGAGGAAATGTGACCTTGAAGTCAGCCATAGAAATCACCAATATTAATGTACATTTGTGGTGGCTTTGGTAGACTTTAAAGAAATTCTGAATGTACCATTTACTGTAGAACTGAATGATGAACACCAAATGCACAAACTGACAAACATTCCTTAAAAAGAGAACAAGCAAACCAAATCTTAGGTTAACTGTGTTTTTTTCTCCAGAAATCTATATTCATAGAAGATACATTAAAACCAATTCTGTCTTAGAAAATAAAATAAAATCAGCCCCAAGTTCACACAGCCCTTTACACACAGTCTCTTGTCTCCTTTGCAGGCAACTCCACCTTTATCCAGTTGTTGGACCTCAAGGACAACCATGTAAGGAGTGTGTATATATTTTGGCTATCCAATGGTCTAACATTTTTTCCATCTTCTACTCTCCTCTTTCTCTTTGTTATATCAGCAATTTCAAAATGATTAGAGAAAGGAAAAGAACATCTGGAAGAACAGAGATAACTAGGAAAAGGAGTTAAGCCCACAAGCAGCTCTTTCCATAACGATCTGCACTCAATTATCTGATAAGGCGTGATTTTTCTCACCATCTATCTCATCCCCTCTATTTCTCTGTGAACTGCAACCACATGCTCCAGCTCTGCATTTTGCATGAAGAATGAAGCAATGAATTCTCGATAGCCTAAAGCATGTGCTGTGGCATCTCTGGCTTTGGAGAGGACAACTGGTGGAAGTGGAGGAGACAGGTGAAGGAAAGCCAGGAGGAAGATTCACAAACATCAACGATGAACGTGGATATGACTGACCCAGATTATTCCCCCATGCTGGATTCATACCTGGTGTCTTCCTGAGCAAAGGGCTGTTCCACATCCACTGTTAGGGAGGCCAGGGCAGAAACGGTCTCTGTCTCCTCTTGCAACTGAGCACCAGCCAGAGCACAGCCCCTTGGCACAGCCACCATCCTTACTGACTTCCAATACTTGCCTAGGAAAAACATCCATCATACTTTATAAGAATTGTAGTTACAGCAGTAATAATCAGGATACTCACATAAGTCCAACTCAGAGCAGTTGTTAAGTTAAAATTCCCCATGTTATACACAGTTGTAATTTGGTTTCTTGATTGTTATGATTAGGTCTGTTTCTCAATCTAAGAATGCCAAGTTGTGAAGTGCCCATATTCCCAAGCTGAATCTCCCCCTTGCTCACACACCAATAAAGTGAGGAATAATCCATGGCCTACTGAACTCACCCTCAGACTGACAGCTGTCTCTGCAACTAAGTAAGCAAACTCTGGGCTTCACGCTCCCTGGGAAACCCGCAAGAGACCAGGAGGCAGCACTCTTACAGAGAAAATGAATGGAATCGTACTGTTAAACATTGCTACTTGAATCATTAACTTTTAGAAAATGAAGTTGGAATATTAAAGAAAAAGAAAAGCCCAGAAATGCCAGCATGAATTGAATGGCAACTTTGCCAGAACAATCAGGTTTGTTAGTCCTGGATGTTCTTTCTTTCTCAACCTCAGGGTGTGTACTAGAACAATAATTGATTTAAAACTTTAATATATGTACTGGCTGATGTTGGAGCCCATCCATATGTCATACTGATGTTTCTTTTTTTGAGGCAGGAAAGGAGAAAGAGAGGAAAATAGAAGGTCATTTCATGAGAACATGCCAATGGGATAAATATGAAAGAGCAGAGTTAATGGCTTTCTTGCAGCCCTTAGGCTATTTTTTTGTGAAATGCTGAGTAGCCCCAAATCAAAGCAAGAGAATCTCCCTAGGTGCTGACATGACTCACCAGGTTAGTACTATCTCTGCAGCCTGACTGGATAGCAAAAACTTTGGTATGCAGTGTTTGCTTACTTCTTAGAAAAAAAAAAAAATCTTGTTTGAGTGGAAAAGGCATATGGATGAATGCTGGATTGGGCAGTAAGATAACAGGGTTCTGGACCCAGCGCTGCCATCCCAATGACGTTAGTGAGGCTTTGCAGGACTTTATTTCTGACTCTTGAAATAGGGAGATGCCTCAAATCTCTTGCAGCTCTAACATTTTATGATTGGCCTTTCCTTATCTTACTGTTTCACAGAGGAACAGATGTCACATTATGGGAGGATACTCAGTCTCCCCATCTGTTCCCCATGCCAACAAGACCATCTGACATAGGTGTCAGTTACTATTTAACTTGCTGTGATCCCTTATTCAGACCATAGTCTGAGAATCTAAAGCTTTTAATTTGCACCAAACAATAACAATTCTGTCAGTGAATCCAAAAACTAACATTTTTTGAAAGCTAAGGCTTTTCCACATGTTGAGGACACAAAGATGCTTCCCTAACACCAAGAAATGCATGGTCCAGGTGAGACAGCCCTGTTAGTTAAGAATTACAATTCTGTGTGTAAAATGCCCATGGTGATCTTGAACGGGAATAAGTAGAACATGTGTTTAAGGTGATGGGAAAGTATGGAAAGACTTGCCAGGAAAAATAACACTATAACACTTGACTGAGTATTTGAAAGACCATTAGAAATTAGAGTGCAAATGTGCTCCTAAAAACCTAATAGTTGATCATCCTGAAGTGTTGATTGCCTTTTCAAATCTTTTCTTGATCTTCAGCAGAGCAAGTTGGTGGTCAAGGGATATCCCTGGAAGGGGAAACAGCACATACAAATATACATAGACTGGAGTCTCTGTGTTTTACTGGGTGACCATCAACTGCTGGGAATGACTGGAACATAGGAAGAGTCTGGAGTGGGATGGATGAGACTGCTGTGGTAGGCAACGGCTAATTAATACACACTCTTGAATGACAGACCAATGATCCTGGACTTCAGTCTGAGGATGATGAGGGGGCATTTTAAGCAGACAAGGTATACAATCAGTCTCATGTTTTTAAAAGATCCCTTTGAAGAGATTATGGGTGATGGATTGGAAGGTGATAACAGTGGGGGCAGGAAGACTAATTTCACATCTTGGCAAAAGTCCAAGTGGGAAACGATGATGTCTAATCCAAAGGAAGTAACAGAATCTAAATGAGAAGATGCTAAGAGAGATTTGGGAGGTTGCAAATGTATCTTTGGGCCTACATCTCTCAACTTTGAAAGTTATCTCTGAATTGGCAGTTGCATTCCCAGGGCCTAGTTTCCCTAGATCACAATGTCAAATATTATCCAGCTCTAATATTTCATGATTGGCCTTTCTTTATCTTACTGTTTCATGAAGGAACAGATGTCACATTCGGGGAGGAAATTCAGTCTCACCACCCATATTCTACGCCAATAAGGCCTTCTGACATAGGGGTCCACTACTATTAAACTTACTTTCAAGCTAATGTTATTGTAGTATTACCCAAGTTGAAAATTCCATATGCCAGCTATAATTACATATATTGTAATGAGTTACACAAGATATTATTATTAAACATTATTTTAGCAGATGACATTTACAAAGCTAGTGATGCCTTATGACATCCTTTTATTGTTTTCTATGTCCGCTAATGTGGGGACTCTGACAAACACTACATATGGCTAGTGGCTTATGGGTCAAATTGCAAAAGACTGTAGGAAAGACAAACTAGCATTATTGAGAACTAAATATGTGCCAAGACTGTGCTAGGTGTTTCTACATTTATAATTTGTAATTTTATTTAACCCTAGTGACAACTATTTAGGCAATGTCAGGTAGTGTTTTTGAAGATCACATGGCTAATAGGCAGAGGAGCTAAAATCCTTACTCAGCACTAATTTTAAATTGCCTCTTCCTCTGCACTCGGCTGTCCTCCACCCACCTTCCAGTAGACATAAAAATACAAAAAAGCCCAATTATAAAATTCTCAGCTTAAAAGAATTATGCATATTGCAAATTCTTTACTAAAAAATAATCTTTGGAAATGATACGTTACCCTTGTACTTCAGATATGTGATTCAGTTGACCCACATTTTATTGACTTTATGGTTTATTTGGACAATGTGAGACAATCATGTCAAAACTAGTTCATTCTACTCTTCATTTCTCATAAAATTGCACTATTGCAAGTATCTTTTCCCAGGTAAATTATTGAGGCTATCATAAAACTGGAGACAGGGCTCATTGAAGAGTATGAACAAGAACCTCATCGAAGTCTGGGTGTGGTGGCTCACACCTGTAATCCCAGCACTTTGGGAGGCTGAGGGGGGTGGATCACTTGAGGTCAGGAATTCGAGACCAGCCTGGCCAACATGGTGAAATCCCATCTCTACCAAAAATACAAAAATTATCCAGGCGTGGTGGTGCATGCCTATAATCCTAGCTACTTGGGAGGCTGAGGCAGGAGAATCCTTTGAACCTGGCAGACCAAGTTTGCAGTGAGCTAAGATTGTGCCACTGCACTCCACCCTGAGTGACAGGGCAAGACTCCATCTTAAAAAAAAAAAAAAAAAAAAAAAAAAGAAGCTCATCGAAAATTGAGCTACCTAAAAGTATTTCCAGATTGGAGATCCCACACTCCCACACTAATCCGGGATAAGTCACTGGATCACAATGGAGCACAATTTCCACATTTATAAAATAATAGTGGTAAGCTTAATGATATGAAAGTTTTATTCCTGCTCTCATTCTCACTTATTATGATCCTTCTGATCTAATGTTACATATCACTCTTGGATGTTACAATAAATTTGCTATGGCAGAAAACCTTTTTTTTGATCTATGAGCCTATGGACTCTTGAAGAGGTCAGCAAAGACTCTTTGCACATAATATGCACATCTAGAATAAGCAAGGGCTTTAATTTTCAAGCATTGGGTTTTATTTCTCAAAAAGAGAGGTCTAGGCCACAAACAAACATCTTTACTTCCATAACACAATCAGGACAGAAGGTATGCATTGTTAATAGCAATCTTTAAGCCGAATGACTGACCATCATCCTTTAAATTTTGGCCCATATGTATGTCAGTTCTAGGAAGGATTTAAAATAGTTGAGACCCTTTTGGATAAAATTTAATGTGTATAAAATATCCTGCTAAGTTAAGATTAAATATTAGAAGTTTGGCTTTTATCCACATGTATGAGTTTCCTGACTCAGAAATAACCCAAAAATTTAAATTCTATTTGGCCTCTGGCAAAGTCTATAAAAACAAGGGAAATATTCTACATTAATAATGCATTTATAGACCACTATCTCTATTCATAGAGGAGAATAATTGAAATAGAAGTGGGTATAGCACTGTCTGTGCAATATGCAGTCAATTCAAACCCCATAATTTATGGGTTATATTTTCATGTGATGTGTAGCGTCTTTTCTTCCGTTACAGAAACAGATGTGCAAGAAAGTCGTATCTATTGGCATAGGAATAATATCCCCATTATCACATACAAGAAATGAACCAAGGCTAACTGCTAGGTTTTTCAGGAGCTGTTATTCGTGCAGTCAAATATTAGTAACCAGCCACAACTGGGTTGCTCTCCTATGGCTACGCAACTGGCAAAAGAGAAGAGTTTTCCATTAAAATTGGGCATGTACACTCCCTCTTCAGTCATATCCTCTATCCTTACTCATTTTTCCCACTATATAAATCTTACCACTTTTCAGCACTTTTTAAGGACTATCCAGCCTTCACCATCATGTATTTTTGTTTTATCTGGCAAAAGTAGCACAAATAATGAATCTACAATAAAGATAAAAAGTAGAGAATGGAATGTAGACAGTCAAGACTTTGAGGTGAAGGCCATAGATGGGGTTTCACTGGGTCACACAAGGCCCAGGAGAGGGCATCCTGCAGGTACTTTGTAAACGGACTTCAGTATAAACCAGATTGTTCTTGGAAATGGACAATTTGGAACAATAGGCAGTTGCTGACTCATGAAAATCTGTGTTACACAAGTCACCTATCTACCAAAAGTTTTCTCAATTCAAAGCCCCTTGCTACTTTGAAAACTTCCTGACCCCAGAAATGCCCCTTTCCATCATCATTTTGGAATCTTAGAGCTGTCACTCCTTCTCAAAT